ACAGCCAAGCACTGCAGGAGACAAGCAGTGTGGCCTCTTGTAGTCATTGTCCCTAAAGTGGGGGCAGGCAATCCCCACCGCCAGCAAGTGAGAGCGCTGTGGTCCTCCTGCCAGGCGCCAGGTAGAAACAAGTTAGAGACAGGCGAAGCGTCCACCTCCACCCAGCCAGACCCATTCTCTTTGCTCTCCCGTCACAAAGCATCGTCACCCTGTCCTGGTGACACCGACTGCTCCTCTGAGGTCCCCGGGGAAGAATCTCCCATAGGGTGGGGCCACAGTGGACACAGGGGCCTGGGGACACTTGGAGGTGGGGATGGGCAACCCCCTCGGGAGTGGAGTGTCACAGTCAGCATCACTTTTGTGGGAAAAGCCGCCGGGGAAACATTCGAGGCTGAGAAAATGCTTGGTGTTCACCACACAAGGTGAAAAGGCTACAGAGCTGTGCGTGTGTAAAAATCCCGACAGTGGGGAGGGAACCGTACCGTTGTGCACCCACGTCTGTGTATCGGGTGTGACTTCAATTTTCTGTAGGTTTGTTTTTTGAGCTGTTAACAATGCACTTAAAAAAGCAGATTCATAGATGTGCAGACTCGGCGAAGGGCAGTCTGCCAAGGGCCAGGTCGGGGTGTGAGACCCCATGAGAATGGCCTGCAGCCTTAGGGACAGGCTCTATGCTGAACTCCCCACCGCTGTGGTGCCATGAGCTGTCTGTTAAAGCTCTTCGTGTAATTAAAATTACACTTTAATCTGTTTTAAATTACAAAACTAATCATTGTTCTTTCTGAAAATATGCAAACTACCCCAAAGTGTATAATGCAGAAGCCTTGGGTCCCTGGCTACATCTCTGGGTGGCTCGCTTGTATCACCTGTTGAGCACGGTGCTGCAGTCACAGAGCTGAGCGAGTGATCGGTGGACGCTCCCCTCCAAGTCCGTGCAGACAAGTGCAGCTCAATGTCCATTACCATTACGGGGAGGTATATTTTTAAACCGATTTTCCTACTAACTCATATTCTGTTTTGATTTTCAACTTTTTGCTATTAAAAATGATGTTGTAGCAAGGTGTGGTTGTACACGCCTATAATCCTAGCACTCTGGGAGGCTGAGGCAGGAGGATTACAAATTCAAGCCCAACTTGAGCAACTTAGCAATTTAGTGAGACCCTGTCTCAAAAAAAAAAAAAAGGCTGGGGATGCAGCTCAGTGGGAAGATCCTGGGTTCAATCTCCAGTACCACGTTAAAAAAAAAGGAGTCGAACATCTTTGGATATATGTCATTTATATGTGTACTTGTGGTTTTAAGAATCTATTCCTTAGATGCCAAGTGTGGTGGCCCACTTGTAATCCCAGTACTCTGAGAGGCTGAGGCAGGGGGATGCCAAGTTCAAGCCCTGCCTGGGCAACTCAGTGAGACCCTGGGCAGCTTAGCAAGATGGGTCTACTGACCTGTAAGAAATCTGATCATAAGCTGATAAAGCTAGCCGAAACTCATTACAATCATGTTTTGGGGTACTCAGTCCTACTGACTGATAGGCATACTGGGTATAACTTTGTTATCTGGTGAATATTTCAGTTTTTATATGCAACTTTGAAGGAGTTGAGGGTTTGGAGTTCCTTGTACTGTCTGAGGTCCAATCTTAGCCTTAGAGCTATTTTTTTTTTGGTACTGGGGATTGAACTTGGGTCCTTGTGGTTGCGAAGCAGGCGGCGGAACCACTGAGCTAAATCCCTGGCCCCCTTAGAACTATTTTTAATTTACTTGTGAAGGAGACTAGTAAAAAGGGTTCCTAATGCATTTTATTATGTAAACACATTAGAGGATTAATTAAATTAATAAAAAATACCCTTATAAGTACCATTTGGAAAAGTAGGAAAAATATTAACATGATAAAACATGGCCTGTTCCTTCTACAGTTTAGAAAAGATCTCTCTCTCTCTCTTTTTTTTTTTTGGTACCGGGGATCGAACTTGGGACCTTGTGCTTGCGAGGCAGGCGGCAGAACCACTGAGCTAAATCTCCGGCCATCTCTCTCTCTTTTTAAATGCAGCACTGAGGATTGAACACAGGACCTCTATATGCCAGGTAAGTGCTCCACCACTGAGCTGCATCCCTAGCCCTTTTAAATTTTAATCTGAGACAGTGTCTTGCTAAGTTTCCCAGGCTGGCCTTGAACTTGCAATCCTCCTGCCTCAACCTCCTACGTAGCTGGGGTTACAGGTGTGCACTACCATGCTTCGATAAAGATCCAATTGATATAAAGGAAAAAGCACTTCAAGTCTCTAAGCCCTAGGGCTGGGGGTGCCCCCAGGTGTTACTGGCAACACAGATGTGAAGGAGCGTTGCTTTCAACCACAGCACGACAGCTTGTCACTTCAAGCTGCACAAACAAGAGTCTGTTTCCACATAGCTGGCAAGGTCAGAGGAAAACAATGATTTACCTACTGAACAGCTTTTTCCTGCCTGCCTCCGTGCGGCAGTCGGGCCTACAGGGACCTCCCAGGCTAATACCATGTGCCATGCCCCAAGTAGGTGGGAGCTCTCAGACAGGGCCAATGTGCCACGCAGGGGCACAGAGGACTGGAATCTGTGCTGAACTGCAAGCGACAGGCACGGCGCTCAGACCCAGCCAGCTGGCACTCCACACGCCTTGGGAGCTTTCCCGTCACCCGTGCCTGAGCCTGGGAGGCTGGCCCACACTAATGCTTGGGAAGGAAAGCATCAAACTCTTTTGTTTTGGCGGTACTGGAGATTCAACCCAGGGCCTACCTTCATTTTGACACAGGGTCTCACTAAGTTGCTAAGTTGCTCAGGCTGGGCTCAAACTTGTGATTTTCCTGTCTCAGCCTCCCAGAGTGCTGGGATTATAGCTGTGGGTCATTTTTAAGTTTAAGAGGAATGTGCTTTGGATCATCTATGTGGTTCCTCCATTTCACCGCATATAGAAGAATAGGCCAGTTTCAAGGACCTCAAGAGAAGCTGCTCATTAGCACTCTAAGGAATCACCACCACTGCCAGCAGCTGCCCCTGCAGCCAGGGAGGATAGCAGGCCAACCATCAGATTTCTCGGACACCTGATCTCATCTGTGTGAGCAGGAGACAGTCTCAGGAAACCAAACTTCCATTAATGTTAAACTAAATTCCATTTCACTTCTAAACAGGCCATGTCAAGGTTCTAAAGGACAACTCTGTCTACCACCCCAGGGTCTAACTCCTTCCCAGAGCTTGCTCATTTACGAGGGCAGTTCTTGTTTACTGCACACAAATTCCAGGACGTGGGTCCCTTTCCCCTCTTAACCAGAAGGTCCCAGTGACCAGAAAAGGGCACTTTCCTCCCTGCATGGCAACAACACACCTACAGTCACCTGAAGGTAAGCGAGGCGAGCCCAACTTGTTAGATCCTGTGCTTGCTGACCACAGCCCGAGCCACGACCCTGAGCAATGCTGGGGTTGTTCATGTGTGGCACATGCGACTGTCATCATTCTGTAGGGCCAGGTTTCATCATGAGCATTTGCTTATGCCACTAATTAATTTTAAACTTAAGTTTTTTTCCTTTTTTGCAGTACTGGGGATGGAACCCAGGGTCGCATGCACACTATGGAAGTGTTCCAGTACTGAGCTACACCCCTTGTACTTTGTAAAAGTTTACTGGGACAGGTTTTGCTAAGTTGTTCAGGCTGGCCTTGAACTTGTGATCCTCCTACCTCATCCTCTTCAGTAATTTAAAGCTTAATTTTTAAATAGCTCCAATAATATCTCACTAAACATTATCTTAGCAAATCAGTTACTGGGCCAAAGGGAGCAGCTGGTTAAGGCTTCAAATACTTATTATCAAAGGGCCTTCCAGAAAAGTCAAGCCATTCTACACTCTTAGATTCATCTAAAAAATGAAAAAGAGACCTTCTTTCCCTTGTTGGCAGAGAGACTGACAATAAATTAGAACATTATTACTGGCCTTGGATACCAACAATTATTATCTTGCATTTTTACTGACAAAAATCTGTATTCACTATGGGGAGTGAAGTGGGAGAATGCTGTAAAATAGAATCCAAATGCTTTCCACAGAAGTTACTTAGTCATCTGGTTTGATACACTATTAAGAATAAGCTACAATTGGGCCGGGGGTTTAGCTCAGTGGTTCTGCCGCCTGCCTCGCAAACGCAAGGACCCGAGTTCGATCCTTGGTACCAAAAAAACAAAACAAAGAATAAGCTACAATTTTCAATTTTCAGTTATTATTATGAAGGGAGAGGAAGGTTTTCTAAGAATGTGCTTTAGACTTATAAAAATCTAAAGATGAGTCTGTGCAGAGAGACAAGACACCAAAGATCCCGATGATAAGATAGCTCCTGTGCTGCCCCAGGGGAGGGCCAAGGACCATGACCCGGACACACCTGGGGCTGGAATGTGCAGCCGGAGTTGCGTGTCCCCCGGACTTGTCTCAGGCTGTGGCTGGCAGATGAGACTGAAAGGCAGTCTTGCCAAACAAGCCCGAGTGTGCGGGGGCAGCCCAGAGTGCTGGGTCACCATGCACGGGCCTCGGTGCACTCCTTCCCGTGAGCAGAGGGACCTTGGTGAGGAGGGTGAAGTGACAAATGTGACAGCGGGAGCCCTGGAGAGGCAGGTTCCTTAGTCTCTCCTCTCAGAAGGCAAGAGGGAGGAGGCGCACACCCCGCTGGCTGTCCAAACTGCTGACACCCTCATCATGACAGCAACGTGGTGCCACCCTCCCACAGCCACCAGTGCCATGTGACAACAGCTGCAGAGCCCAGTGGCAAGGCCAGTGGGGCAGCAGAAGCCCTCCAAAGCGCTGGCCATCAGCCTGGGACGCAGCCTCCCCTTGGGGTAGTGGGGTCTCCAGTGAGTGCGAGGAGTAGAGGGGTCAGCACGAGGCCAGAGGCCAGTGTTAGGGACACGTGGGGAAGGAGGAGGGCTGAGCATTGGGCTCCAGCCCTGGGTGCTGGCCCGCCTCACGGGGCCCCACCCAGCCTGACCAGGACGCACCTTCATGACGGGCTGGGCAAAGTACCGGGCACTCCAGTCACAGAACCCCGTCTGCATCGCGGCACAGATGAAGCTTTTGTGTCCAGCAGCATCGTCTACATCATCGGCAGTCTTCCGGGTGTCGAGAAGGAGGAGGGTCAGAAGAAAAGAGGAAACCAGGCCTTAATGTTCCCTTACTTCTCTGTGTGATTAAAAGAGGTGCTGACGGGGACTGAGGTGGTGTTGAGCTCAGTCTGCTCCTCACCCGGGCATCCTAATGACCAAGCCATCCTGCACATCTGGACAGGGGTTGGGTGGCAAGGGCTCCTGGGGCCGCCCAGTGTGGCCTGGCCAGCACAGTTGCAGTCACCCTACACTGAGTCCCACCGCTGGTGCTGACAGGCTCCCACATGCAGCTCCTCAGTCCTGCATGCCCCTGCTGCCTGGCACAGGCTGCCCCTCTGATAGCCACAAAGACACAGCTGGGCATATAGCCAAGGTCAACTGGGGCCTAACTGCTTAAAACGCTGGAAGCTGCTATGTGGACAGTGGCCATTTCCCACCATAAGCCCTGGGGTAGCCCTAGGGTGCCAGGGTTAGTGTTTGCCTTGTTCCACCCAGCTGGGCTCCAGGAGTACCCATGCCAAGTGCTCTGAGGTGGGCTGAAGGCACTCCTCACACCAAATCTTGGCAGAGGAGGGGCTCCCATCACCTGGGGGACAAGAGAGGGGCTCATCGCCCACTGGAAGCTGCAGCTTTGGCTCTACAGGACTGTGGGGACCACCCACGTCTGTGCCAGTTGTGGTGCTCCCCTAGACCACAGCCCCTTACACCCCAGCAACCCTCCCCATCAGGGCCCAGGCAGGAGGCCACTTGTACTTGGGGCTCATTGGCCATCAAGGCCCTCAGTCAGGTGGCTCGGGCCTGACCAGCACATGGAGATCTGCCTTAGTGCTGCTGTGTGGGCCCTGCTGATCACCCACACGGCAAACCTTGCCTGGAGTTAACCCCCAAGGTGGCCGGGACTCCATTCTGTTCACTGGTAACCAGTAAGCAAGGGCACCCCTCCAGGGCGGAGAGACGCTCACTGCTCCTGGTGACAAGGCAGCCAGATGCCCTCAGCACGGCCCAACAACCTTCTTCAGATCCTGTGTCCTTGACTGAGAAAGATACAAGCTCCTAGGACTTTACAGGAGGCCCAGGGTCAGCACACCTGGCCTGGCTCTCGAACTCTGGAGGGAAAGCACAGCTCTCTCTTTCCTGGAATTTCCTTTCCCACTTAGCTAAAGGCAAAGAGAGTGTGCTTGTGTGGACTAATTGAATGTTTATGGGAAAAAACAAACAATCCATTCAGAACAAACACTTTGTGGAGCAGCTGCCACCTCACGCTGATGCAAAATGCTCTTTACCCAAGAAAGGAAAAAAACAAATTAATTCCATGTGCTTATTTTGTCACATGGGGTTGCCAAGACCAGCGGACCAGGACAAGCTGCAGAATAGGAGGCGCCTGTGATGAGTGGGACCGGCCAGCTGGCAGGCAGGGGACTGGATCGAGGAGCCACTGCCCACCCAGGTCTGGTCAACAAAGGCAGTCATCAGGTGGGGCCAAGGAAACTAAACGTGAGGCCTCACACTCACATGGGAGGAGCCAAGCCCTCAGCACCAACCACAGCGTACAGTGCCTATGGGTCATGAGGAGTGCAGAAGGGGCTGCATCTGTGTACCTGGTCTGGGCCCTTGTCGAACATCTTCCGTGTCCGGGGGAACTGGTGGGAGTGAGGGGTGTACTGCGCCCCTGTGGGGCCTGTGGGGCCCGGGCGGCCAGGAGGCAGGTCACGGCTGACTGGCTGCTTGGCCACGTCATTGGTCAGACTGCAGCTGCTGGTGCTGGACGCCGGCGGGGAACCTCTATGGGGAGAAGAGCAGACAGCAGGCCTTACTGTGGGTCCCCCACCTGGGAATGAGACACTAATCCCCTTCCCTAGGTGCTGCTAGCAGACCCAGGAACGTCCTCAACCACTGATATGTTAACATGACTTCCAAATGCTGGGCTGCTGTGCTGGGTGAGGACCATCCTAGCTGTCCCCTGGCAGGCACTGAGAACCACCCCTCCCTGGACTCTACATCCCAGGAGGCACTGAGGACTAACTGGACCCAGGGCAGATGTCAGGGGAGCTTGGGCTGAGGGTGCACACTTACATTCAGTTTCTGGGACAGAGAAGGATTCTTGGAAGGCCTCAGATTAGATGAACATGGGTATGCATGGAAGGGGACACAGACACAGAGAAAGGGAGGAGACGGGGAGGGAGGGAGGGGAACACAAGATAACATGGGGGAAGAGGGAGCGCAAGGAGCTGAGCAGTAATGGGAGGCAGGTGGCTGGGACTGTCCATCATGTCCATTATAGATTGCTGAGGGGAGGCTGGCACCAGGCCACTTATCCCACCCAGTGGGTGTGCACTTACCCGACTTGGTGGATGTGCATGCCCTTGTTAGTTGGGCTGGCCGGGGCCGACTGTGTCAGAGAGGAGGTATCGAGGATGCGCTGAGGTCGGGCATTCACTGTGGCCTAGAAGGGCAAAGAACAAGTGACACAGGAGGTCAGAAGACAGGATCAAGAGGCTGATGGCTGCTCTTGCATAGTTTCAAAATGGCAGAACAGATCTTTAGGGTGAGAAAATCTCAAACACCAATGGGAGAACTTCTGCTAGACGGCCAGCAACACTTGCACTCCTGGACTTCTGCTCCCAGCAAGCAGAGGGGCTGGCGGGGCCTCTGGGTTCTGGGTCCTGGAGGCTGTGCAGTCAGTAGGGGCCAGGTGAGGCAGAGCAGAGTCCTCCTCCAAACCAGGAAGGTGGGACAGTGGATCTTTATTCTTTACAGCCACTGACTCCTCCACCAGGGACAGACCGTGAGAGCTGGCGGGTACCAGGTTGCCTTCTAGAAGTCCGGGAGGGGGCCAGAGATTTAGCTCACTGGTGCTGCAGCCTGCCTTGCAAGTGCAAGGTCCCAAGTTCTATCCCTGGCACCCCCCCAAAAGAAAAAGAAGCCCGGGAAGCACAAGAACCAGAGACAACCTCAGCCTTGGGAAGCTCCTCTCCTGGGGGACCCGCCCTGCCCTCATGTTCCTGAATTATTCATGTGCAGTCAGGAACACTGTCCCCATAACTCAGCCACCACCAGACAGAAAGTCAAAGAGAACAAACCACCCTGAAAGTCTTCACTTAAATACACAGCATGAACGCTTCCCAGGAAACCCCTGGCTTCAAGTTGGAAAGGGCAAGAAAAAAGAGCCAAACTGCTCTTCGAACAGTATTTCTTATTTTTTAATTACAAGGGAAATACATGTTCTTGCTGAACTTGTTTCTGCTTTGGTATTTTAATTATTCAGCCAATTCTACAGGCACAAACCTCCCACAAAATGTGACAGACATATGATTCCTCAAGTCTAAAAGAGAAAAATTTAAACTGTAACTTTAATATATACTTCTCAAAACTTCTGGAGAAAGAGTGGGAGGTGATGAAGAAGTCATCAGAGAGCTTTAGGGGTTGAAATGCAGACTTTCACAGAACCCACTGACCTCTCTCATGCTCAGGGCACAGGACCTGAGCTGCGCCAGTGGTTCAAGAGCCGGCGCCTTGCAGCCTCAGGCGTCCCTCTGACTGCTGCCGCTGCAGTCACTGCCGCCTCCATGACTCACAGGAGCTCCTTGGGGAAAATGAGCTGGAGCCTGGCTAACTCTCTGCTGCACACAGCCTGCCTGATTTCGAGATGCAGTTTACACCCATGGCTGCTACCACAAGTCATTTTGTTCATTCTCAGAAATTCTGACAGGGCTGGACCAGCACAGGACGAGGGAGACCTCCACGAGTGTGGATGCAGCAACTTGAGCTGAGCCATTCCAGTCTGCTGACACCTCCCCAGGGTTGGCTGTGCGGAAGGGGCTCATGGCGGGCCTGAGCACAGCGTCACTCAGGGAGGGGATCAGGAAGGCCTGGTGTCACTATGAGGACTGGGGACACTGGGCAGGAGGACTGGAACAGGCTTGAGGACAGGCCTTCCTGCACAGTTCCTGTCATGTACCAAGTACTTGCTGGGAAAGCTTTTTTGTCTGTTTGTTTTTTGAGGCAGGGTCTCCCTTTGCAGTTCAGGCTGACCCTGAATTCACTATGTAGCCCAGGCTGGCCTCAAAATTGCGGCGATCCTCCTGCCTCAGCCTCCTGAGTGCTGGGATTACAGGCATGCACCACCATGCCTGGCTTCGGCAAGCTTAATGGAACACTTGTGTAGAGGCTGGGTCTGGGGACACAGACTGAAGAGGACAGCATGTTGCACAAGACCAGGGACCTGGACCCCACTCAAGCCCTTCCTTATCATGTTCGCCCCATCACTGGCTACCTGTCTGGGAGGGGTAGTGGGTTCCAGAAACATGCCAATTGCTTTCACATCAGGGGTCTGGAACTATGCGTGGGAAGTGGCACTGACCAAAGTCCACTGTTGCTTGATCACCGAGAAGAGACAACTAATACCTAGAAATTGTATTTCCAAAAGAAATGTTTGCTTTATTTATTTCGGAAATTCAGAATCCCTTGTCAGGGAACCAGAAGGACTGCAGAGTACCAGTGGGAACAGGTTCCTGGATGCTGCCCCAGAGCATCTGGACAGTCTCTCCAGCAGAGGCTTCTGCGTGGAAATTCCACAAGGCAACATGATTTTAAAAAGACATCTGCATTGGGGATTTAGCTCAGCGGCACCACGCCTGCCTTGAAAGCACAAGGTCATGAGTTTGATCTCCAGTACCACAGAAAAAAAAAAAAAAGAAAAGAACACCAAACAGACATATCTGTAAGTAACTTGTACTGTGATGGCGGGAAGCTGCGTGTTAATGACACAGAACTACTGACCATGCTTTTCTGAGCAACTCAATCTTCATTTCATTGGTCACTCAGGGCTTTGGTCTCTAAAAGAACATTTCGCCACTGGTTAAGAACAGTAATAGTGTCCAATGTGCCTGGTCTGCACCAGTCTCACTGCAGATGTAGTTCCTGAAGTGATCCAGAGGCAGCAACACTATTTTTAGGTGAGTTTATATGTCTGTGCATTTAGATTTCCTCATAACGACTAAAATGAGAAGTGACTGTGAACCCTGACATCTGAACACCTGTGGATTGGAGATGCAACCCCTTCCTTATTCTCTCTCTCTCTCACTCTTTGTTTTTTCCCCTTCCATATTCTCTTAAAACCTTGACAGCAGGAGGGGTCATGAGGTGAGAGCTACTGAGGCCACAAATACTTCCTCAGGGTCATTACTCTCTTCCTACCATACTTCTGTGTAGCTTGAGATTACCCATAGTGAAAACTAAGAGCACAATGCAAACTCCAAGGTTTTACAAACATGCAATTAGGCCATAGCTGTTGAGCTGTAAGGGTTCATTCTTAAACAGTTGGTAGCAACTCTATACAGTACTTGAATGGAGAATTCTAAGGCGTGTTCCACAATAACAAGGCTTTTTTGACTCTGATGAACAAATTTGGCTTCAGAGTTAACCTAAAATAGTCTCACTTCTCTATAAAATGAAATATGATCTCTTTAGTTCCTAGAGCACAAAGTAAGGCATTTCTTGAAATTAAAATGAAGACAAGAAAGGATTCCCTTAATGTTTATGCTTCCAAATCTTTCAGTAGCAGTGTTTACTCACACACACACACACACACACACACACACACACACACACACAGCACACACTGCACTGTGTTAACTTGGTCTCCAGAGGAGGCTCAAACTGGTCTCTGTTACTGGCTGTGGTATGTCTTCAGGCTGATGGCTGTGTGCACACCAGGGTGTATGTCACAGATCAGCAGAGCAGGCACAGAGCCATATACCCCTTTGCTGAGGGTTCTGGAGCTTGTTTGGAATGAATGCACTTCCCTATCACAGGTGATGCCATCTGCTCGGGGGTTGCTAACAAGGCAGGTCACACACAGGGAGGGGGAGGGTGTCGGGGACGGGGTGGGGTGGTGGGGGTGGGGGTGGTGGCTGAGTTCCTTAAAAGTGGGAGTGGGAGTGGGCGTGGGCTTTGCTGGCTCACTGGTACACACTTAGTGAACAATCCAGGAGGACCCAGGGCTGGGAGGGTTTGGCCAGCATCTCTATCACAGAGCAGGGAGGAGTGGTTTTTGTGTCAGAGAATAGAGAGGTTCCTAAGAGGGACTATTTAACAACCCGAGGTTGGGTCTATGGCCATGAACTGATAGTTATGAAATTAATATTAGGCACCAGGACTCTAGTGTTAAATAATTCAGGTGGAGTTTAGTAAGGGCAAATATATAAAAGACACTGGAAAATAAGCTCAAATAGGCTAGATCCTCATTCACAATGACTGAACTACTCAAGGACCTAAATTAATTGCGGGCCTCCAGCTTCTGCTCCAGAAGGGGAGCAGGCTGCCCTGTGTCTTCAAGAGCAAAGAAGAGGCCATCAGACACCTCTGTGTGCCAGAGACCTGTGACAAATGAAGTGAACTGGCCAGTCTCTGCTTTCTTTGAAAATAAATTCTAAAAATTTAAACCATTCATTAATGTCCACACAAAGCTGTGAAAATGACTGAAGTGCAAATGATTCTTTAAAATCTAACCTTGAAATATTGCACTAAAAATGGCAGACTACCTACAGCCTGAGAGAGCATTGATAAGTGGCAGGAGGCAGTACTGGGTCATTTATTAGTTTTCTTTCTCTTTTTATGGCAGTGTTAGCAGGATCAAACCTAGGAGTTTTCCAAAGAACAATGAAAACATTAACTTGATTGGCTGTTTTCCACAGGCCAGTGACACATGAAGGCAGACTGAGAGGTACCCCTGCAGCAAGGATGGGCATCTTTCATCTGGCTCTGCAGCTAGTCACACCGTGATGGAGTCCACTGGGGGAGCCGAGCAGTCCATTACGGGGAGAAGTCAGAGCAGGATTGAGCAATGCAGGCTGTCCCAAACTGTCAACAGTAAGCCCAACATGTTACTGTTAAGCTGGATGTTCTACTGGGCATGGAGGGCAGGGAAATATCTCTGGACCAACAAGTCTATGCTTCTAGGACAGTGTGCCATACATGTGACATGCTTGAGTTTAAAACTGAGAACTCACTCCTGCATTATTCTTTTGCTGCTTTAAAGAGAAAGATGAGTCTGACTACTATTGCATTTAAAAACTAAGGGAATAAAGAGGCTCTGTTTACTATTACTTGTGATACTACCAAGAGCTAAAGAAGTAACAACCACAGTCAATGAGGCGATTTCAATCAGTCAGGGAAAAGACATAAACTAACACAAAATAATTCCAGCTAAGAGACTGAACACCATGCAGACAGGATGAAGGCAGGAGACTATTGCAGGGGCTTTGGCTCAATGGCAGGCTAGGACCAACCGATGAGACAGCACCAGGGCAGAGCTTAATAACCCACTGGGAGAAAAAACAAGGGGCTGAGACTGAAAGGCACAGCTCTGGGGGCCCATCAGCCGTGGTGGACAATTCTTCAGTGTGATGTAGTCAGAGGAAGGTCAAGGGTACACCAGGCAAATGTAAGATATGGTGATATGCTTCTCACAACCTTTCTGCAAGCCTGCAATTTTATTAAGTTAGAAAAAACTTTAAAAAATGCTACAGTGAATTACTTCTAGATCCATTAATAAAAGTTAACTAAAAAGATATATTGTGCAACTTTGATAAACAACTAGATAACCAGAAAAAACATACGAAGCAAGTGTTTTCAGACACTAGATGTTGAGTACTCAGGAGGGGGATCCCTAAGAGATAGAAATAAACAACTGACCCAGTTTATAGCTTGCAGGCAGCTTCCAGCCCATCCCTGGCTGCAGCTCAGAGAAGGGGAACCCAGATGAAGCTGGCACTTTCAAGCAGCGAGGACACAGAGCCAGCTCCAGGTAGGCCGAGGGGGCTGGGATTTGCAGGGTGCAGTGGTGGGGAGGAGGAAGCTTCCAAAGTCTTCAAGGATGTCCCACATGTCTCTGACTGACACTTTTCTGCTCATGGGTGTGGGAAAAACCCAGGAGACTGGGAAAAGAACTGGAGGGCGTTAGGCCAAATTCTGAGCTCACAGAAAGGACTGGGAAGAGCTTACAGTCCTCCAAAGGATTTACACTTGTATCTAGAAATCAGGATAAGAAGACCAAATGAAATCCAAAGTAAGCAGCAGGAGGAAGGAAGCAAAAAAGGTAAAGTAGCTGTCAATGAACGAAAAATTTAAAAACAACAGAGAAAACCCAATGAAACCCAAAGATGATTCTCTGAAATCTCTACTGGCCAGAAGGATCAAGGATGAGAGAAGTTGTCAACACTAATGTCAGACAAGGAGGCAGGGACATCGCTACAGATCATACAGATGTGAAGATCATGAAAAATAACAATGCTGACAACTACAGTTATGCTAATACAGTTCAAAGTATATTACGAATATACAGTTTAAAAATATTTGTGAAAGCTCAACTTATTTATGTACTTTTAAAACCACAGTGTAGACCTATTAACTGTACTGGAGATTTTTGCTTGAATATTCATGAATGAAAATCAGAAATTCGAGAGCTTCAACATAAACATCCCATCATACCTACCTTGTAGGCAATGCTGTTGAGTACTTTCATGGCCAAATCAGAAACATCTGGATAAGGATCAGCAGCAAGATGCAATAAGACTCTCCAAATTTGAGTGTAAACACTATTAAAAGAAACTCCTAGAAAAAAAGAAATGGGAGATGTTTCAGTAGCAAATAGCTGCTGTTGCACAGATTGGCAGCTTCTGAGGTAGCTTGAGTTCCTGAAAACCTAATCGTGGTAGCAGGAAGGGGAGGGTTAAAGAAAGATTCCTGGTTTGCTATTCTGGTAAGGGGTCCAGAGATTCAAGAATCCTAGCAGTGTTCCTCAGGCTTAATCACACTGGTCTCATCTTCTGAGGCTAGCTCTTTCTAAAAGGAAAACAGATAGAGAAGAGCAGAATTTGCATTTGGGATGCTCTAGTTGACTGCAGAGGATTGCAGTCTCCAAGTAGCATTTGATTTTATGTTCTAGATTCCTGGAAGCCACCATGGTCTATGATATGTGGTCTATGGGGGATGCAAGTCTGTCTGCAGCCCACTTGACACTTAGTGCATGCCCTGTGTGCTGTAACTTGCTGGAATCCTTTTACCCATTCCACATGCTGGCGCTGTTCTGAGGTCCTAGGAAATCATGAGATGCATGCGATATGACCACTGCCCCCCAGATCTCCTAACTCACCCCAAGCATGACTAAGGGTGTACTTGACACAAGGTCTTATCCAGCATGTCCAGATGCAGAGGCATCACAGGAGGTACTAGAGGCTCAGACATATCAGCCTGTTACAGTGCAGATGTGAGGGAAGAAAACAGGAACTTGCCGAGGGCTTTAGCGAAGGCTACTCAGTCGTTTTAAATTCTGCAATAATCCTGAAGGCAGGGATTGCCCTGGTATGAGAGGAGGAGGTGAGGCCCAGGGAGCCCTTCTGCTGAGGTCCAAAGTGAAGGATGTGAACATGTCTGTCTGTCTGACTTTCAAGCCAGTCAGGAATTCCAGGACACAGTGCTGCCCCAGGGAGATGCAGACATGGGCATGAGAGGATCCAGGAGCAGGGCTAGGAGATGAAGGCCAGGAAGACAGATGGAATAGGCATGGGGTGCGGGCGGGGTGGTGTCTGAAGGGGAATGAGGATTGTTCCCCCAGAGAAGAAGCGGGGGAAGGAAGCTGGCAGCATAAGCAAGACCTGCATCCTGGAAGTGATGGAGACACTTGGAGCATCTGGAGAACCATGACTGAAAACCAAGAGCCAAACAAGGAGCTCGAGAGTGGCACACTCAGAAACCCAGACATGGGTCCGTCAGCTGAAGCTTGGAAGGAGGCTGCAGAGAGAAAGGGCCTTAGGAGCTGGGGCCAAACTGACTCTAGAAAAGGGTGTGGTTTGAGTGAAGGCTGCTCAAAGGAGGAGAGGAGCTGCGTGTGGAAAAGCAGAGGAGGCACCAGAAGAGTCCTTGCTCAAGGTGCTGCCCACTGGGAGCTTCATGAGGGGAGGCAGAGACGCCTGCTTGGAGTTGGCCGGAGATAGCTACCCAGAGCTCCTTCCTTTTTATTTTGAGAGAAAGCTGGACAACGTGCTGGAAAGCACACACTTGTTTAACACAGAGACTAAACGGATTTCAAATAGGCTGCAATCTTGTGCCCCTTCCCTGGCTGCTTATGATGGGCGTGCTGTCAGAGGACAGAGCGCCTGTGATGAACACAGCTTTAGTAGAACAGGTTTCATGTGACACAGTCAGGTCCACAAACAGACCAGACGAAGGCTTAAAGTCAATGAGGTCCAGAGCTCCGCGTGGATGCTCATCCTCACCTGCCACTTGCCCGAGCCCATCGTTTCTCACTGGTGGACCTGAGTGCAGGGCCAAGAGTGCTGCTCCCCGGCACCTTCACCGGGCGGAAGGTGTGCTCTGATACGCATTTACAGAAGTTCTGCTACTTCATCATTCCGCCAAGGGGGATCAAGAGCTGCCATGCTCTGAGAAGCTCATCCCCTCGGCCTCTCTGGAGACAAAGCCGGAGATGCCCAGGTTGTTGCTGATTACCCAGAGGATGAGACCTAAGGAGGGTGTTTCTCTGGGGTGGCAGCTCATGGTTATATGACGGTCCTGTGAGTGGGTAATGTGTGCTCACTTTTGAGCATGCTCCGCAGTGCTGAGGGCTCACTCAGAAGAGCCAGGCGGTGCATGTAGAAGGAGGCCAAGGCCCATGGTAAATCCGGACTTGCGTGAAATGAATGCCACACAGTCCCTGGCCAGCATGGAGGAGGCCCTGCAGCAGTGTGGACAGCCCTGGGTGGGAACCACGGCCATTCACCTGCTGCTCTCAACCAGAGTCTAAGTAAATTGTTTGGTAAAATCAGAGCTGAATCTCTGTGGGAAAATGTCCTCAGTCTAATTTATTTCCCGTCCTGGCAGATGCCTGTTCATAGGAACTGTGCTCTATGTTATGGGGAGCAGCAGGCAGGAGGAAGCTGCTTCGAATAGTCTTGATTCACGTGATTCACAAGCAACAAGAAGGAAGGAGAATGTGTCCATCGTTTCTGTAAGCAGCGTCACTCAGCAGGAAAGGGAGAGCCCCCTCCCCACCACGACGGAAGCTCTCACAGATGCCCTAGGCTCATCGCCACCCTTGCTCAGCGTCCTTTCCCTCATTATTTTCGGGCTCACAGGCAAATCTGGCCCAGTGACTCATCAGAAGCAGCTTCCTCAGAAGCTCAGCTGCAGTGTGCCACTGGGTGTGAAAGGACTGTGACGTTGACAGTGAATCTCGGTTTGACTCAGACGATGGACCCTCGTCACAGGACAGGGTGGGGCGAGAAGGAGCCGGGGAGGGAGGGAACGGCGTGGGAGCAAGTGCAGGAGGCCCTTCTCATCAGCCCTTATCCATCTCTTAGGCCAGGGGCACAAACGCCGGGCAGGCAGATGCCTAGGGCATCCCCATTGCCCCATTGGCAGCTGTGTAAACCAAGGTGTCCGGCATCAGGCCGGGGTGACAGGTACAGATCCCTCTTGGGGAAGTGGTCTGGAGTCAGGAGCTCAACAGAGCGCCAGTAGAAAGGTCTGGCACTGTGCATGTTGGCCATTATGGTTTATTTTTAAAATTTAAATTTTTATTATTGTGTTGACTTTCTTGCAGATCTCGACTTTGATGTAACACTGTGACTCTGTAGGGAATTAAAAAAATCTAATTTTTGCCAGTCTCTTTGACTATAACAGATAAGTACAATTACTAGTAAAAAGCATAAAACTATGATTAAGAATTGCTACCTTCTTTCCTGTTTGGTCACAACAGTGATTCTCTCAGATACCTACTGTGTGGACTGTCGGCTCTTAGATCTGCTGTCTCCAAGTCAGAATGCAGGCATCTCCACACAGAGATCAGGGCCCCCTGGGATGGAGGCAGAGACACCTACGTCCTGGCCCCACAGAGGGGCAGGAGCTGGGAAGGGCCTGTGTCTGCCACTTGCCACACTCCTGTAAGTGCCGAGAATCTGTATCATGTCTAGACTAGAAGTAATAAAAGATCAAGATGAATGGGTCTAGAACTTATTTTCAGAGCAAGGGCCACAACTTTCAGAGAAGCACATGCTATAGGATGTTCCTCAGGGCTCTGTGCAGACGCCCAAACCATGGGGCCCTGCTGGCAGAGTGGCTGGGGAGAGGAAGCCTGGCTGGTGGGAGGGCTGCAGGCCCCATCCTCTGAGGATGTGGATGGCTGAGAGCCTTCCGTTTTCTTCAGAAACTATCTCCTGGGGTTCTGGGTTTGCTTCTTTCCTGCGATGCCTTCCTGTCTCTGGTGCCCTGCAGTGACTCCTGGGTGGCCAAGGGCTGTACCCACAACTGAGCACCCTTTAGGCGATCACGCTGACCCACTGCTTTGCCCTCCCTTCCTCCCGTGCAAGCTGGAGTTGTGGACCTCGTCTGTTCCCAGGAGGGACAGAGCATGTCCTGGTACTGGCAGCCAGTGTGTCTGAACAATCTTTTCAGCAGGGCTCCTCAGTTTCCCTAAATGACACACTCAGTGATAGCTTTTAATCAGGGGTTTTGGTTCTAAAAACACAGTTAATCCATCTCATGGCACTGGAAACAATGCCGTTCATTAATCAAATTCATGAGACCTCCAATCAGAATGTGTGCAGTCCTTCGCCACCACCCTGCTTAGCCTTCTTGTTGATCAAGCATCGGGCTTTCGATGAGCAAAGGCGGAAACTGATCCCCTCTACCTTGAGATGCAGAGGGAGGCCTTGCCAGATACACTGCTGTCGGCCGTGGGCCTGTGTGAAGGCTTGGAAGGCTCTCTCCTAGGGCTTCCTGGCATGCTGGCAAGAAGAGGAGGATGAGAGGAGGTGGCTGCAGGGCCATCCTGTTAATGCAGTCACAGAAGCCTGGGGGCAGTGGGACGGTGGAAGCCTGCTCTGTGGGCCTTGGACTGGGTCTGTTGGCTCTTTTCTCTCAGGAGTTGCTCTGCCCGGTAGATCCTGAGTAAGGTGGAAGGCTTGGATTTGAACATGGCTGTCATCCCAGGTCCCATGCTTAAGCAGTGAGAGTGCGGTGAAGAGCAGTGTGACGACACCCAGTGTCCTTCTCTTGGTTAAGTGGGGGTGATGGCAGTGTCCTGAGGCCTGGGGCCCACAGGGAGAGGGTAAAGCTAGATCTGGCTGCTGTTGTCCCTTCAGCCAGCATCAGCTCTACCTTAGATGTGTTGCTATGGTGACACGTTTTCAACACAGCATAAAATGTCACTGTTTTACAGAGCTGTGAAACCCCTGGTCCAGCCTCTGAGCTACATCTCAGCCAGTCAGTGCCTTTTGGATGAGACTCCTGCCACCAGAGAGCACATCCACAGGCTACCATATCCCTTTTCTTCAGGTCCCCAAACAGAAATTCAGTCCCACCTTGCTTTCTCAATCTGGGATGGCTAGACTCTGGCTGAGACGCAGAGTGACAGGTGGAAAGACAGGAGCACATGATGAGACAACCCTCTTGGGCCCGGCATCTGAATGGAAGTAGGGCCTTTACAGAGGATGATTCAGGGCTATGTGCACAGTAATTACCCAGCCATGGGGTCAGGAGTGTATAGCACAGCCAGGCCCCAGGTGTCTGAACACAGGCATTCATCAGCCTCCATCTACCCCAAGCTTCCCCAC